AGGGGGGGGGGGGGGGGGTGAGGGGCTTTTTACCTTAAAATTTCCTAGAGGGTAGCTTAAGAAATTTTCCAAAAAATAACAAAAATTAAGTGTTTTAGTGATATACAAGGGGGTAAAAACGATATCCTAAAGGGGGTATAAAGATTTCCATGGGGTAACTTCCAAAAATCACATCCAAGGGGGTTCTAAAATTTTTATATCCTAAGGGGATTATGAAGGCCCCCTCAATAGGGGGGGTGCCTATATTACAGTCAATTTCAACTTACTTTTCACTATAAAAATGTTGCGAACTTGGTTCCGAACTTCGCAAATTCGTTGCCAAGTTCAAAAGTTCATAATTCACCATACCAAAAGTTCATACCAGGTTTGTAAACAAAGCCTCTCGGATTGGCTATTAAATCAAACCAGCCAATGAAATTTACAAACCTGTTTGTGAATTTCATTATGAACTTTTGAACTTGGCAACGAATTCGCAAAATTTTAGTGAAAAGTAAGTTGAAATCGACTGTAAATGGAATGGCCCAATAGCAATAACCACATCTATTCACTCCTGGATATAAATAGTCTAAATTTCACTCTAGGTTAATTCGATCTCTAAAATAATTTGACATTATTCTCTTATTTTTACTTACCCGGTCAGGCAAGACTTTACACAAACACTTGTGGCACATATCAAAGCTTAAACTTACTTTGTGATAAAGTTTAACAATTTACAAAATTGAAAACCACGAAATTTTTAATATACTGTACCCACGTGAAAATTTTAAAATTGTCAAATTTACATCTATACGAACTATGCACCCCGGGTTTTTGTATTCGAACTATAGACCCGGAGAATTTCTCCCGGGAAATAATTCTCGTATACGGGCTATGTACCTGGGTCCTTAATTAAAGCCGAGAGAAGGATTACCCGGTTACAGAGAAGTGGTGAAAAATAAAATTGAGTTATATTTCCAGTTAACCACCATTTGCTGCTCTGAAATTCTGTTTAAACTGTCAACGTTTCTGTGATCACAGTAGGAATTTTGCATCGGTAAATTCTAAGTTTTTGAAGGATTTGTAAGGCACTTGTAAGAATCTATGGCTATGCAAAATTCTTTCTGTGATCACAGAAACTTTGACAGTGTAATGACTAATGTGTCTTTAGTAGGCCTTACTGAAATTCAACTCAACCAATACTATTTTAAATATTTGGGCATAATTTTGTGTGACACAAAACGAATAAACACTCTCTGATTTTATTGTTTTGTTAGAACTAAAACAGCGGACGGGACGAGACCACATTCTTTCAGAGTTTTCTCCATGTCCACTGCAGTGAATGTTTTCTTGGGAAATGTCGTTGACAGCGCAAACGGTTGAGCGCCGTCAGTTCTGTTAGCCTCGACGTGAGAGATGATACTTGATAGTATGTCTGTTGGTTTAAATGTTCCCGTGATAGCCGTACCATCGGTTAGACGAAACTAAAACAAATAGAAGATATGGTGAATGTTTCATCTCATGAGGCTAACTCCAAATTACAATTTTGTTTTACTTCAAAACTTAGTTGATTCTAAGAAGACCTCCGTTAAGGTTACAGAACACCTTTGAGTGTTAATTTTGCCTAAAATGTTTTTATTGGTTTCCATGAAAGCATTAGACTAGTTCTACTATCTGACCAAGTTTGAATGAAAAATGTTGAAAACTCGCAGAGTTATTTAATAAAATACATTTCGCTGCAATAAGAAAAACATTGAAAATGTAATATTCAAATTCAATTTTCTCCCGAAACATTTTACGGTAATTACTGATTTTCAAACGAGTTGTGCTCCTGCGGCTTTTAACCAATTTTTCTCAAATTTTCACAGGACATAGCTAAAGACGTCAGTTTCAAAATTGTGTTCGGCTTTTTTTTAATTTTGGATATTTTAAAAATAAAGAGCAATTCACTCAAACAATTAACAAAAATTTCCGAACACAATATTTTAGAACAACTATTTTACTGTATAAAAATGATATTTTCATAAATATAACTTAAAACCAGCAGCAGCACAACTCAAAAGCGTAACGGCACCGCGATTTAAGATTTGCCTAAATAATTCTTACAATTTTTTATTGTTTGTTAATTTTACAACTTCATCATATATTTAGCATGCACTGGAGAACATTTGGTGAAAATTTGATGAAAATCGGACTGATATTGAGCGCGCAGTAGCGATTTTCCGCAAAACGCCAAAAAGGGTGTCCTGTAACCAACCTGTAACCTTAATCTAGAACTCAGCAATGCCAATGAGTCCTGTATAACATGTAATCTATAAAACTTGTTTAAAGGGTTTACATCACAAAGTGTCTGTGCATTGCCATAGGTTAAACTCCAAATTACATAAGAAAAATGAGGGATGAAACTCTGACTGGAGCTCTAGGAATGAGCAGATTATAATTTATATACCTGTAATCGGCAGGTTGTGTATTCTTTTAAGACAGACTGCGTGCTCCCTGATGCTGATGACGAAGCTGCGGGTGGCGTTACGTGACTTGCGGGTTTAGCTGAAGATGACTGAAATATATAGTGTACACAATTTTTACACTCAATTCCTTTCAACGCCGATTTACACTATACAACTTTTGCCTAAAACTGTGGCATGCAACATGCTTACAACTTGAGTTGTACTGTGTAAATCAAGCACAAAACTCACGTACTGTTATAA